CATGCTCTCCAGGTGATTCTGATGCCTGTTGAAAGATTGAGAGAACTCAAGTGGGGCATTCGAATTTGGCAGGCCGGGCGCTAGTGGTCCATTTAAGGATGAAGTAAGCAGGAAGCAGGGAAAGATCAGGCGAGGCTCCATTTACGTTCCAGCTATGAACAGATATGCCTGAGCCTCTCTTCCACTTTCTGAAAGTTTGTGTTACCTGCTAATTGCTAAAAGAAAGAAACTCAAAGAGGCAAGAGGCAAAAAAGCAAGAATGGAAATCAGTGTGTTTTGTGGCAGCTGTAACAGTAAAACTGGTGAGGCCAAGCAGACAAGCCTTCCATATCAGCCACAGCAGGTGGCAAACCCCAGTCTTTGACACTGGAGGAGGGACACAGAGAGGAAAGTACAGACATTGGATTTGGCTGCTCTGATGGATTCAGATAAAAAGGCCATGTTCGAAGATGACCCTTTTCATCTCCCACGCGCAGGCTTCCTGTGCCTCCACCACCCGGACCTGAGGATTCAGCCTAACCCTCACCACCACCATGCAGCCCTCCTGGTTGTCTTGTGGTTCTGGTAAGTGAAACTCAACGTTCATTATTTTGGCTATATATATATAGCCTGTGTATTGACCATATCCTCCATGCTTTTACTACATGTTCATGTTATTTTAGCTTTTATATGTTATTTGGTTTGATTTGACAGGTTATTTATTGGTTCAGACATGCTAAAAAGTCTTCTCTATAAATTGGTGGGAAATACTTCTTTCACTTAACTTTTGAAGAGGGGGAAAACCTATAACCATTACAGTAAAATGAAGACTTATGACTTTGCAACTTGAACATACTCATTTTTTTTGTTTGTTTGTTTTTAAAGATTTATTTATTTATGCAAACAAGAACTGGAATACAGGCCAGAGGTTGGAATAAAAGGATTCATCAGCAACAGAGCAGGGAGCAGAACAGGCAGGCCTACTGATGTACACTGCTGAGGGGAGCAGCGGATAAGACAGAAAGGGTCTGCCGCACCATGTGGGCCACCTCCCTGGTGGGGGATTGAACTTGTGCTGCAGTGGCTGCAGATAGCTTCATAGTGCTGTGCTTTAACCCAACACACCACTAGGGAGCACTAAAGTTGTTGTTTTTAATCTCCATATAATCAGAAATAGAAATTCTCAGAATGTTTCTGAGACTTTCCACTATGGGCCTCCCTGGCTAGGTGGGGTTAATGGTACACAACAAGGGGAAGAAAATAGGGCATGTGTGTAATTTTGTTTTTGAAACTACTATTTTGGTCAATTTAACCTGGTCTATTCTGCCTCAAGCAAACCTTTAATTATTCCTTTTGTGAGATGGTGTTTATAAAATTATCCAAATATTTTGTTTGCCTGAAAATATCTTTGTTTTACTTTTAAAATAGAGGATTGTTTGCAATATACTTGAAATCCAGTATAATTAGAATATTGGTGAATGTTTTTTGAAGCATATGGAAGATATCAATCCATGCTCTGCCTTCAATTGTTTTTGATAAAAAGCAAATCTAATAGTGAAGCAAAGGCAAACTGCTACTTTCAAAGTGAACCATCGCCTTATTTTCATTTATTTTTGTAACCTCTATGCTTTATCTATTGATTACACATTTAAAATTCATTGGTATTATTCCTTTTGTAAATAAATGTCTCTTATCAAAAAAAGAAAGAAAGAAAAAAGAAAAGAAAAGAAAATAGGGCATGGTGTGGGCTGGGTCTGAGGTCACAGCGTTGCTGGGTACCTAGGTGTCAGGAAGTGCTGACAGTGATGCAGTGTCACCACTTACCCATGAGCACCTGACACTTGGATTTCAGGAAATAACTACTCCTGCCTGGCCTCCCACTCAGCTGCCCCCGCATACACCCATTGTGGCAGGCTCCAGCTATAGGTGCCCTTTGCTCCCTCCTCCCCGCTTTCCTCAGAAGGGCTTGCTCTGCTTCTTCAGCCATGCTCCCTGTGTGTATGCCATTTTCACTCCTGATTGTGCTTTTATTGTGCTGCCAGGAGGCTGGGGACAGATGTCGCAGTCATCTTCTTCCCCCTTTGTCCACTGTGGTGAACAACCCTGTCTCTCACTGGCAGCTAGTTAAGTTCAGCACAGGCTACCTGCAGGGAGAGAAATGTCAAGGGGAATAAAACACTGTGTCTGACCTTAGGGAGCAAGTTATGAACTCCAAGAGCCAGTCACCAGCGATGTCATGTGCTGAGAGCCAGGCAGGAAATTCACATAGAGCACCACCGTGTTTTGGCCCACACTTGGTTCTCTGGGCTCACTTTAGCTTATTACATAGGTACCTGCTGTTTTTATTTTTTTTAAAGCTTATGTTGCTTTTCTGAGAGCAAATTGTCTGCCTCTGCCACCTTGTAGACTTCACAGAGCAAGGGACATGCTGAGTGACTACTCCCCAAAAAGGAAATGCTGCTTTGTGAAGGGTGCTCAGAACTGACCAGAGTCTACGTAATATTTAGAGTACAGAAGTTTTAGAAAGTTGGCTCACAATTAAAAAATGATCTCACATCTATGTTTCAGTAAAACCTTTTTAAAGCACAACATACAATCACTGAAAACACAAATGATACAATCACTAACAGTTGATACAAAAAGCTTTCTTATACTGACCAATATTACTACTATTGAGTAGAAATGGTTGTGAGAGATACAATTTAACTTTTAAACCACATTGACGTGTTTCCCTCACGTTCTCTTGAGGCCCTTGTCTAGGGAACTCTTCAGTTTTCTGGGAGGTGCTGTTCTATGGCTTTTGTGAACATTTCCTTCAGAAGTAGAAACGTCTCACATGGACAATGAATGTTCATGTGGCTGACCTGATAATTTTTTAAAAAGATTTATTTATTTATGCATACAGAACTGGGGTACAGGCCAGAGGCTCAGGAGCGGTGAGAGGATTCACCAGAGACAGAGTGGGGAGCAGAACAGACAGATTGACGAAGTACACTGCTGAGGGGAGCAGCAGGCAGGTCAGGAGAGATCTGCCGCGCCATGTGGTCACCTCCGGAGCAGGCGGGGATCGAACTCTTGCGGAAGTGGTTTTTAGTTTCTCAGTGCTGTGCTTTAACCCACTGCGCCACCAGGGAGGGCCTGACTTGATAATCTTATATATGTAATCTTATATATGACCTGATAATCTTATATCAAGTCCACCTGATACAAGAGTTTATATGGGAACTGAATCTGTTGTTCATCTAGGTGATACAGTTACACATTTCAAGCCATCACAAACAGCCATTTTATTTTATTTTTGAAGATCTATTTATTTATGCATACAGAATTGGGGTACAGGCCAGAGGTGCAGGGGCGGTAAAAGGATTCACCAGAGACAGAGTGGGGAGCAGAACAAGTAGACTGACAAAGTACACTGCTGAGGGGAGCAGTGGGCGAGACAGGAGAGGTCTGATGTGCCATGTGGATCACCCCCTGGGCTGGGTATCAAACTTGCACTGAAGTAACCCATTGTGCCACCAGGGAGGGCCAAAAAATGCCATTTTAAAAGTTGATCAATTTGGATACTATGACATGGGCTGATTTTACAAGTGTATTCTGTCATGCACATCTACTACTTAGTGATTGCTTCATATTAAGTGAATGAATGAAACCAAACCCTTCCTGAAGGTGGGTTCCTCACCTAACAAAAGTGGTACAGCTCAAAGAGGGACTCGAGCGAAACTGTAGACACACCAGGCACATCTTTGCCTGGGAGCAGAGACCGGGCCTGTGACAGAACTTCCTGAAACCAACCTGATGAGGAGGGAGGCCCAGGGCTGAAAAAGCACAGCCTGACTGTTCTTTCCCATGGAGCTCTGACTGGGGCATCTGGCCTAGTCTTCCCCTCCCATTTCTAGCCAGTTGTCAGTGCACAAAAAGGACATTCTCTATTGAGTAGAGAACAATTTTAGACCTTAGAACAATTTTTCAAACTTTTTATAAAACCATAATCCATAGTAAAAGCCCATTTTATTTTGTGAACTGGGAAATACACCATTAATTATACAATTGAAACAACTGTCTCATAACTGGTATGATGCAGTGATTATTCTTTCCTGTTCCATCCCATTAAAGGAAAATGTGACATACACTAGTGATTTTACAGTCCATACAGGGGTGAGATCAGCAGTTGAAAGCAACCGCAGGGCAAGCCATACGTTGGAGGGATGGGCTTTCGACCCTCTGGGAGGGAGGAAGGGTGCGCCCGTCATCCTCCCCTGGACACACTCAGGTCACAGAAAAGTGTGATGTAAGTCCTTCTTTGTAGAATCTGAACAGGAAAACTCGAAGGAAATTCTTTGCTTCTATATCTAAAATATACTATAAATATCAGTAAATATCCTTAGCCATAAGCCTTCACGGGGGGTGGAGGTAGGAGAAAGGGGGGCACATCTGACTCCCCCAGAGAGGAACTCTGCGAGCAGAAAGACACTGGCAGCAACTCTGCAGCCCCTACTTAGTGCTACCCAGCACAGGAGCAGCTATGGCAGTGGCAGCGTCCCCAGTGGGGTCTCTTCCATCCAGGTGGCTTCATCAGGGCTCTTGGAGAGGGGAGGTGAGGAGCTGGTTTTGTGATAAAACCCATCAGGAAATGCTGAGTGAAACCACAATGTCTCACAGTTTCTACATGATATTCTGGTTTATGACCCTTGGGAATACATATACAGTGTTTTCCTACTGTTTTTGACCACAGAATCCTATTTTCAAATAACCCGCAGAATACAATTTGGGGACTGTTGCCCCAAGTGATGGGTCTCTGCCTCTTTCACTAGCTGCCAGAAACACAATGTAGAAGAGAAACATCTTCATTGTTGCACCAGTTGAGGGCTGGGCCAGAGAGGAGTTAAAGCTTTCAAGGAAGCTTGGAGGCACCACTATTTTGGTTAATCAAATGCAAAGGAATGGGACTTCAGTAGACCTTCAATATTGATGTATTCAACATTTATATTTTTAACTGAGCCAGTTATGTCCTGCCCACCTTAAGGGGTGCCCTTCACACAGAGGGATGTGTTGAGTGAGGCCTTTTGGAGGAAGCCTAACTGCAGCCCTCTGAAAAGTGCCTTGTTTTTTAGTTTAAAACATAAACCTAAGTTAGAGTTGGTCAGAACCTCCAAATCCTCCTCTTTCCCTGGGCTAAATTCACTGACTTGTTTAGTTGGAGTGGGTGAGCATGCGTTGAGGTCTGACAAGCTGGAGACAGACCCACATGTTCCTGTTTAGGAACAGGAATGATAAGGCTAGTAAAACAGGAATGATGGCAACACTTATCCCACCAAGTTGAGGTGGGTAAGTCATATTAAAGCTCTCTCGAAATGACGTCAGTGTCACTCTGTGAGGAAGCCAAGTCCTGTGGCAGCATTCTGACCCAGGTTGCTACCTCATGGCCACTGGCACCAGGAAAGCCCTTACACAAAATCACCCCTAATCTCAGAAGTGGCAATTTTTATGGCAGCATCTCTATCACTAACTAACTGTAAAACAGTCATATTTCCAAGGACTAAGAGAATGAAGACTTACAAAACTTCCCTAGAGTACTTTTTATGATGTAGAATTTCATAAAACTAAAAGGAATAGCCCTGAGGAGTTAAATAGAAGGAAAACTAGGAAGGATGGTACAGTTACATTTCACACCTTAGCTAAAATACATTATGCTGACAAGGTTGCTCACTAACTTGCAAAGTGTCAACTACTCTTTACATTCTTAACAACATCACTCCCCCTGGTTGGTCCTTATTTTCCTACAGACCTGTTTTCTCTGAAGTCCCAGGCCTGTGAGAGGAGGTGACTGGCTTAGCCGTGCTGATGGACAGCGTCTTTGCATGAGAGCTAGTCTCAGTGTAGCCAGCTGTGTCTCCTCCCAGATCCTCTTCCATGTCCTTGCTTCTGCAGAAACCCCTCTGTCTGGACAGTCTGGACCCCAGCAGTTTCCAGGCTGCTGCTCTGTACTTCTTTGAAATGAGGTTGTAGAGAATCGGGTTGATAGAGGCACTCAGATAGAAAAGTTGCAAGGCAACAATGTTAATATACTGAGAGATGTACATCATCCGGGAATCTTCTGTGTTTATATATATGATTCTGCCAACGTGGAAAGGCAACCAACAAACTACAAATGCCAGAACCACTACCGCTGCAAAAGAAAACATAGCAGCAGAATTAGTAAAACTATCCAAAACCAAAGAAGGGGTCCCCAAGAGATCATTTGGTGTAATAAGTTACAGCAACACAAAATAGATAAAAGTTTTTTTTTATCAAGTCCCCATCCTAGAAAAACTACCATTTTACAGATAGCATCAACATTTGCTTAAACATGCCATATTGTGCTTATAATTTGTATTATCAAGCTGCTCGTAAACCAGAAGGGGCAGTTCCTCCTACTAACAAGCTGTTCTGGCAGGCTCCTTTCCACAGACACTTCTGAAACATGTTCTCTGTTAAAAGGAATTTTGCAACAATCGCAGTCTTATTTTGATATGGGCATGGTTCACTTTAGCCTTGAGGATAAACTAACACAGAGTATAGACATTTTAGCTTAATGTGATACCCCTTCTTCTAAAGAGTTACTATGAGCAATGTGGCAGTCCACATTCACGGAGCCTCACAGGCAGTAAGAGTCTCCAGTTACCCTTATTTAATCAGCAGAGCTCAAAAAGCGACTTGAAAATCATTGCTTTTTCCTGTACCCAGGTAATGCACTCTTAGGGATGCCCTGGGACAGAGATCCTGGAGGGCTGGAGGTGGTTTTTGCTACAGATGGAAAAGATCAGTAGGCGGAGGCTGGAGTAGAGCAAAAGTAAATGCAGCTAAAAGAGGTACCAAGCAAGGGCTGAGAGATCAGGGGAAGGGACCTGGACCACTGTGTTGGAGAGACCCAGCGCCACTTACACAGCACGCGGATGGTCTGTCTGTGGCCCTTTTCCCTCGCGGAGGCAGCCGGGCCTTGCAGCAGCCCTGGACTCCTCCACAGCTCCCGCCCGATGAGCCAGTAGAGGACGCTGAGGCACAGGAAGGGCAGGAAGAAGTAGGCGGTGGTGACCCACAACATGACGCGTAGCGCCCCCAGCTGAGCCGGGCTCGGCCGGCACTCGCGGCTGAACAGAGCTGCGGCGGCTGCTGCCTCTGGCCCCGACGGAGGGGACAGCCAAGGACCCGGCGAGGACCAGAGGGGCGAAGGAGTGCGCGGCATGGTGCCGTTAAGTTCCAGGGCCCAGTCAAAGCTCGTGTCCTGCTCAACCCCCACCAGAAAGAAGAAAGGCGCCGCAGAGAGCAGAGCGGTGGCCCAGAGTGCCGCAATGAGCGCGCGCACTCGGCGCCGGGTGACTAAGGCGCGGGCGCGGAGCGGGCGGCAGATGGCGAGGTAGCGCTCGACGCTGAGTGCGGTCATGTGCAGCAGCGTGGCGTAGGTACAGCCTTCGCCCAGGTAGAGAGATAGGCGGCAGAGCAGGGGTCCGAACACCCAGGGCCGAGAACGCCACAGGCGGTACAGATCGAAGGGGAGCCCGAGCAGGATGAGCAGGTCGGACATGGCCATGCTGCCCAGGTACAAGTTGGTTGTAGTCCGCATGTCCTGGTAGCGCCAGATCAGTAGCACTGTCACCACGTTGCCACTTACCCCGACGGCAAACAGACCCAGGCACACGGCGGTGACTGGAACCAGAGCCCCCAGGGGAAAGGACGAACATCTGCGCTCGTTGCAGGGCAGTGGTGAGGCCCACGGTGGTTCCTCCGCTCCGTAGCTGCTGTTCCAGGGGCTGTCCATGGGTGGTCTGCAGCATGGACTGCAGCGGAGTCCAGCCAGCTGGCCCGAGGGGCCGGAAACCTAGCTCATGGTCCGGCTGGTGATGCGCTCTCTTTGGCTGCCCTAGCCCAGCACCAGTCCCGCTAGGCGCTGGAACGCTCTTCTGCGGGCTCAGATCTGAGAAACTCCCCGCTGGCTTGCACAGTCTCCGCCCCGCCCGTCTGGCCACTGTCTGCTCCACCCCAGCCTTAGTCCTGCAGCTCTCCTAGGCTGGTGATGTAGGGCTCTTCCCTCTCCACAGACTAGGGGAAGTGGCTACAGGGCAGGGCTCTGCCTGGTCCCAGCAAGGGATTTCTGAACCCTACTGAGGTTTGTTATTTCAACCAGCTGAGCACAAGAGCTCTTGTCAGTTGGGTACAGAGACCTTCTGTGGGACCTGGGGTGGCAGTGGCGTCCTGAGAGTTGAGGAAGATTATCAGCAACACTAAATGGTAGATAAGGAACTTAAACCAGAATCTAGAGTCATTCCTGATTCTAGTCATCTTGAAGCAGCCCAGCCTTGCCAGCTCAATTTGCTTCAGTAAATTCACAGGTAGTGGGTACAGTTGACTAAATCATTTCAATCTTCTTTACAACAGGGAAGTCTATGGGCATGATTGTGTTTACTTTATGTACTACATGATATTTGCCAACATCAGAAAGAAATAAGATTTTGAGGAAAAAGACCAAAACAGATATATGCACAAATTCACTGCATTTTTTTTAATTAAAAAGTTTATTTTTACATCATTTTGCACATTTTTTTTTCATCTCAATTGTAATCCCCACGGGTTTCCCATCACCAAATCACCCCTGTGCC